CGGGGTTTCAATCCCTCTCTGGGCATTTTGCATTCCTTTCCCTCTTCTCTCTCTCTCTCTCTCTCTCTCTCTCTCTCTCTCTCTTTTAGACATTTCTTTACACCTGACGAGGTTGCCTGCTCCTGTGCTGATTACAGCCTTAGACTCTCATGTGTACTCAATGAGCTCGGACAAAAGCAAATTATAGGTGCTACATATATTATATAAATGTAAAAATGATAATTAATAAAATAAAATATAGAAATGATAATAGCTAACTTCAAGTTTGCTGTAATTATTCATTAAGTACGCCAGTACTAATGTGTCTTAAAGGCTACCCCTTATTTTACGGATGTTTGAACATATCTGTTTACTTTCAATCTGCGTCTTCGAAATCGCGTGTCTTATTTAAAGGCCTATCACAGGTAATTCTTTTTCAATCGTTAAAGTAAAAAGCCTTGAATTCCTATGCCTATAATGCAGGATCCGTTGTGCAACTTCTCCAATATGTTGTTTAAGGTGTGCTTTTATTTTTTAAATATTTATTTGAATTTCTGAATTAAAACATACTTGAATAAAAATTCAAACGACTTATTGTATTCTAAATATTATATAATAACTGTAAATTCAAAGCTCGAGTTAAAGGATCTTTGCTTTATCAGCAAAAGAATAAAACAGGAAAATGGGTAACTAACCCAGTTAAATTAGTGATACGGTAGGCCTACCTACTTTATACTCTATTTTTTCCTATTCTCTATTTTGAAATAATAATAATAATAGTAGTAATAATAATAATAATAATAATAATGTCATCTTATTAGGCGCGTAACACGTATCCATCTGTTGGTAGAGCTACTCGAGGCGCCGTTTCCACCTGCAGAGTGTACATGTAGCCTTTTTTCTGCATTATTATTTTGAATTAATTTTATTTAAATTATTTATTTATTTTTATGTATATTTAGTTATGACAGACCTGACATAGATAGCAAAGATAGGCAAAATAAGATGCAAATACTCTTCGGGGTCACCATCCATCACCACCCTGGCGCATTCCCGGACCTCTGCCTAGGTGGCTCGAACAAAGGGACTGGAAACACATTTGCCCTGCCACAGACGACCGGGTGCTCAGGAGTTGTAATCGAGACAATGGCCCCAAAAAATAAATGCCGGACAGTGAAAGACAGGGGGGAAAAGCAGTTATTGTATTTGATCAAAATGAGAAATAAAAAGAAAAAATTTAAGTTCAGACTTGAACTCACAAAGTGTTGACAAATTTCGGACGTCTTGTGGGAGCTGGTTCCAGACTTTTCCAGCTGCAAATTTGAAAGCCCTCGATCCCCAAAGATCATTAGTTCTGTATTCCGAGAGCAATGAACGATCAGCCGAGCGGAGACCTGATCGAGATGGCTTGTGGGAGGGTCACAAGCCTGCTGGGGGGGGGGGGGGGTCACAAGCCTGCTGATATAGACCGGTGAAATTTCATGCAGAGCCCTGAAAATGAGCAACCCTAGCTTGTACATGATACGTTGCTTCATTGGTAGCCATTGTAGTTCCCTCAGGACTGGAGTTATGTGATCTTGTTTTCTCTTCAGAGTTGTAAGTCGGGCAGCGCTGTTCTGGACACGTTGGAGTTTAGTGATGAGTAACGTGTTCAATCCGTGCAGAATGGAATTACAATTATCAGCCTTGAAGTTATGAAAGAATGAATGAATATTTCAGCAATGTGACTATATTCTTTCGGATGCGACTGATGTTATGAAGGGAAAAACGAGCAGATCTCCGCGTTCACATGTTGAACCATTGAAAGGGTATTGTCAAAAAGAATGCCAAGATTTCTACAGGTGGGTGATGGTTTGATTAGAGTTTCACCAATCTTTGTGGTGAGTTCCTGTTTTGGATAAATTGTGTTTCGAACCTATCAGCATGAACTTAACTCTGTTTTCTTTTCATTTAATCTCCTAGCTGCCGTTCGCTTGACTACTCAATATGTGTTTAGTTTTGAATAACAGGAAGGGAGATTAGTTGTATTAGAACAATGAGGCCAATGTAGGACTGGAAACGAAACCAACGTTCGCGAATGAAGGTGGACCGAATGGACATGGTCATCCTAAAATAAGTTGACTATTAGTTAGCTCCTCTTGAAATAACCGCAATGGAAAAGGTCTTGTAAATTTGAGGTTATTCCCGTTATCAACAAGAATGACTCTGTGCTTTCTCCTTTTGTTTTCTTTTTTGCTTATTTATAAATGTTATTGTTGTAGCCTAAAGTGTTGTGATTTAAAATAAAATAAATCAATCAAATAAATCAATGGTTTTATTATTACCGATAGTTAATTAGGCAGGAAATATAGTAAGCGGTATTTGAAATTGTCCTATGTAATTATTCTTTTTAGTAGGCCTAAACGTATAGGCTAGTCGCATTTCAAGGCAATCACACTTTTTCTCTGACAAATATCGATATTGATATTACAGTATTTGACATGGTTCACCGAGTTTCATTCGATCGCCCAGCTGTGAGCGTGTGAAGTCGGTGTGGTTGTTGTAATTTTAACTGCAATATGCATGTGTTTGTGGTTCCAGCTAGGGATAGGCTATATTAACCAACCCAGTGATTGTTGGCTATTTATCGCTGTTGTTAGAATACATTTGTATTAGAACAAGACGTGTAGACTCCACATCATTAACTTATATCTGCTCACTTCCACCTCAACTTTGTTAAAAAATCTTCCAACTTTTAAGATACTCTAAAGTGGATAGCGACACGTTTCATACTCAAAGTTGGTGCCATTTGTGGGATAGAAAAGACCTGCTTAACCTCCGCCCCTACACGTCTCGTCAGGGAGCTCTACCCAAGTCGTTGGGGATGGAATTTGTACAATATGAAACTTTTAAGTCGAATTAGATAAGCCCTTTCAAATTCTTAAATTGTTGGAGATTCTGGAAGAATTTTTCATTATAACCTCGCCCAATAACACTGGTCTCCCCTCTCCGTTGGGAACGTCCCTTGAAGGGCCAACCATATGCTTCCCCACGGCATACACGCACTTGTTCTTATTTGGAACTTACTGTGTGGTACAGCTTAAAAACTTCAATATTAAATCAGGCTGTAAGAAATTATAATGGCTGAAGAAAATCAAGAACCAGGTCACGAGAAGAAGAAGACTATCATTACGTCATGCATACAGTATAGTATCCTATTATACGTAAATACTGGTATTTGTATAGTCCTGGCTATGTTTGAGTAATGCATTGACAGGAAAAATCTACGGATATTATTCTCCTTATTAACTGTATTGGTGTATATATGTAGTTGAAGTCTACATACTTTTCCCAAGTTGGAGCCTGCCTAAATACTGTAGGCGGTTGGACCTGTCTCTTATACACATCTAGATGTGTATAAGAGACAGCCATTGTAGTTCCCTCAATCCAACCATTTCTGATGGTGATTTGATAAAATATCGAAATACTGAATCACAATAACGAGTTTTATTTTATTTCGACTAACTATTTCTGTTCTCTCTAGTATCTGTCTCTTATACACATCTAGTTTATTTCGATCCCCTTTTTTAGTATTGCCGGCCTAAACAAAATACTGTAGTGTGATACTCATACGTTCCAACCTCCGCCAAAGGGTAAACTACTATGAATTTATCGTTGGTTGGTTGTCCAGCAGCGTATCCGGAAGCTTATTTGCCAGGGTGGCGCGAGTGGCAATCGAGGACCCAAGGTCTGAGAATGGTGTAACCTGTATCAAGAGAAGAAAGTTTAGAAGTCTTCCCTTGCCTATTGTTAAGCATCGGAGTTTTAGCCATTTTAATCTTTTATCTACATAATGTTTACACACTTGGTTGGTGATTTTTCTGGCTGCTGTCGGGGTTGGGGCGAGCTTCCATTTTTCCACCACTGGATCCTCCTCTGTCGTCTTTAGTACCTTAGTATTTAGTATCTTAGTATTTATAAATGTTATGTAATAAAAAAAATCTCAATTATAATAACGATAGCTATTATGGGGGGAGGAGGGAAGGTTTCCTCCTACCCCATTCAGAATAAAGCCATACACACTGAGCCCGACGATCGTCGTCCGACGCGATTCTAGGGAAAAGGCAACGCCAGGACGCACGCGCCACTGATCTTTCTTAAGGGCGATCCGTAAAAATTATATAGGCCTAGAGTATTAAAACAATCATTTAAGTCTTTGTCACCAAAAAATAAAACAATTTTTTCTGACGATCCACTCAAAAATTACTGTAGGTTCATTTGAAGTCAAAGAATGTATGGAAAATTTCAGTTTGTGTAGGGGCTACCCTTTAGTTATCCTATGAAATGTAAACCATAGGCTGAGCCGATGACGTGAACACCGAGCTGCCCTATGTGTATTCTAAAATCTATAGAGAATTGATACTTACCACCATGCAAATAACCTGATCCTATTATATTACAATACTAATGATTAACAATAACATACGGTTAAGTTTGGAGCCACGAATTTGTTCTCATAATATCATTACCGTAAAAAGAACTACTAACAGCAATCGAATGTCTAAATGATGTGAAGAAATCGAAATGCTATGAAGGCACAGTTGAAAGTTCTTGATCATAAAATTGGGTGGAATAAATGTGGGGGTGTATAGAATACGAAGAGGAAAAAAGACTTTTTCAACATGTACTAAACACAGGCCCATAGCCAGATTCTTCCAAAGGGGGTTTTCTGGGCGTGAGGTCCACAGGCGAAACCCCCAAAGCAAGAGGATTTTTGTGCTTTATAGGTCTAAATAATGCTATAAAAGCAGATATGTTTGAAAATGTCTGTGTCTGGGTGGGTCTGCAGTGTATTAGTTGGGTTGGGAAATTTAAAGAGGGGGTTTCCCCAGAAAAGAGGGGGGTTTGTTAGAAAAGGGGGTTCTCCCGAACCATAAAATCCCCCTGGATACAGGCCTGAAACATATGATCTAAAAAATTTAAATCAAACTAACGTTAATAAAAATCAGATGAAAATCAAAGATGCATTTAAAACCACTTACCTTACTTTCAAAGACGGGGTTTCTCTAATCCAGGTACCGACTTTTACTCGTCTAATCTCTGTCGGTATAAATTGAGCTTGTGATTTTCGCTGCGCTGGTGTTACAAAATGACAGCTGCGAACACAAGTTAACGGCCAACAAATCTGTTTTTATCTCCGAAAGTAATCCCAGGGAACACAATACAAGAACCGTTCCTGAAAAACCGTCCTACCAACTTCTAAAATTCAATGCAACACAGAATATGTGTATCGCATTAAAACGATCGATGTAGGCCTATAATAGTTTCTCATAGCTGTAACTGTCTCCGTGTACACACCAGTGCAAAATGCATGTCTGGATTGGTGGAGTTCAGTTTGCTTTAGCTGTCATCGTCGCTAAATGGAATGTTCCATTATCTTGGTTTGATATGAATTTATGATGAGCTCCGTTTACACGTCATCAGAGCTGGGGATTCCACTAGAGAGGTAACCAATCAAAAGCACAGCACACAGATTGGACATTCAGACGATTAGCAAACTATATTAACTAATAGTATACACGCTGGTAGTATTTGACCCTGTATTAGCAAATTATTCTAAATCAGATTCTGACGGAAACCAATATCGATAACTAGTTTAGGATGTGTCAACGTTTACACCGCCGGGTTCAATGAACATTGTATTATGCACACGTCTAAAATGAAAAGAATGTCCTCCAAATTTCAATACAAGCTTTTTTCCTTTTCAAAATCTTTACTGAAACGAGAAAAGTGTCTACAAAAGAATACCAAATACAGCCAAGGTCACGGCATGGCTGAAGTTAATATCTATACAGTATTCGTGTTGAAAATGACCTCATATTTTTCTGCAATTTGCTTATTGTACACCATGGGTCTGAACGTTGTGTATGTGCAGGGAACAGTGAAATTTCACTGTTCCCTGGTATGTGTGTGTGTGGGTGGGTGTGTGTAGGACGGTGGTGGGGGGGGATAAAAATGGTTGCCAAAAACCAGAGTGTGTAGGTACATGGCAAGAGGCCCGTTGCCAATGAACAAGTGACAAATGGGCAAAAGATCACAGATAACGAATTTCATATATACCACGGACCATATTCACAACAAATGCCTTTGTGGTGGTTCTAGTATCGTTCAATAGGCCTACACTATTATGGAAATGAGCTTAAATCAGAGTTACATTGTTGTTACTTTTAAAGTGTACGGTACGTTCTTTACAACACAAAGGAAGTCTTTTCCGAGTATATTAAATCTCTTATACCATGCTTATACTATGTAAAGTATCACAATTGATATAAACTCAACTTAAGGTCCTCTCTTTTGTCTGATCTAGTTGCAAGCACCTTATTCGCAACTATTGGTTTAATGCTGTATACTTAGATGTAAACAATTATTTTGATTTTGTATGGTCTTGCGGAAAGCTCGTCATAGCCATATCGGCGATGGTTCGATTCTAGTTACACACTCGCCTAATAGTTATGGTGGTGGAACAGGTCTTCAGTGTTTTACTCTACAAACCGCAGGTCGCGTGTATACACAGTTGGCTCATGCACTACTATACAGAAACCGGTATATTTAGAGAAGATTGCGGGATACATCCGTGCACTGGTCCAACGAACCCTGTTGTTGACAGACGAGATTAGATGGCATCGGTTTACCAAATAGGCCTAAATCAGACCCAAAATTATCCTTTGGGGTACTATACGAGAGAGCACTTTCAGACTTATGTATAAATAAAGAGCTATATCAATCAAATTACACTACTATTAGTTTTTATTATATTTTATTATATTTTGTGACTTCAAGACACATTTTTTAAGTATTTTAATATAAGATGGACTGAATGGAAAGTAATAGATTTCCAACTCAGGTTTAATAAAATATAAAGCATGGAAAAATAAGACCAACTAATTTGACCTATTTATGCCTAAGTATAGGCCTATCATGCAAGTTTTAAAAATAAAAATTTCACGCAAACATTTCTAAAGTTAATTATGTTTCTGTGAATTAACACACTGGTATCTGAAATGACCAACTCGGAGTTTGGTGAGGTGGCATGCAGTTGGTAACCCTCATCTCCTGCAGTGTATCAAGGCAAACTTGATTTAATAATAGTATTTGGTATATATAGTACAATTATATATCACTATATAAATATACCAATAGATCTCCGTAGTCTAGAGAAATGAGGTGGAGATTGTCTCATTGTACTGCCCAATCACCCCCTCCTCTATAAAGGCCATACTAGAAATGTCTTCGGACTTCGTGAGTTATCTTTGGTCTTCACACCGAATAAATCCAATCCAACCATTTCTGATGGTGATTTGATAAAATATCGAAATACTGAATCACAATAACGAGTTTTATTTTATTTCGACTAACTATTTCTGTTCTCTCTAGTATACATTAGCTCCATTGAGGGTGAATATTAGTTGTGTGACAGAGTGTGTACTTGGCTGTGCTGTATTTGAATTTGGAATATTGTATACCATATCTCATCGGTCGTGATGTATGCTCCTCGTGATAGCAGGAGGTTGCAGGACCGTTAATCGTTAATGACCTATGCTTCATAATACGATTGTAAAATCGTTCCTATATTTGAACACTATTTCCATTATTCACTAATACAGTACTTGTATACATTTATAAGAAAAAAAATGAATATTCTACGCTCATAGCGGTATCCGATTTAATGTGTGTTCATTATATATTAAATATACACATTATATATATATATATATATATATATATATATATATATATATATATATATATATATATATATATATACATATAATATAAATCATCAAAGGTACATATACAGTGTTTAAATAAGGACATGATGGAACATCAAATTTTTATTCAACAGTGTTTAACGGCTAACTCCCTTCAATGTTAAACAGTACTAGTCCTTGATGCATGGCAAATAATAGAGATCAATATGATACGACCTCTACTTATATGTATTGGCGACAAGACAGGATCTCCAAAGAGATACTTTTTTAAGTCATCGTGGCAGTCGTATTTTTTGGGGTTATACGCTGATATAAGAGAGACAACAATACAAGCAACTATGATTGTAATCTAAACGGGATGTTAAAAAGGCATAAATAAGTTTTGTCGTTGCTGATTGATCGAAATATTTCCTAAGAGGGGTAATTTTGTGTAATGCTCTCATACAAAACTGACAAATAAGTTCACGTGCACTATCATTCATAATTGTCTAATTAAAAAATATCTTAAGAGTGAGATACTCATATAATTGTATTGTCATTTGTTAAGGTGAATGGTTAACCTTTTTAAATTGAAACGCAAAGTAAAGTGTGTGAACCGAGTCGTAGATACTTTTCTCACTAACGACTTTATTTGCTAATGAGAATGTATACCGTACTTACAATTTATATGTCGTCTTGGTACAGTGTATTCCCGAACTACGAGGTTTAAAAATATCTTTGTTCCTTTACATTTTATAATTTTTAATCGTTCTTGCCATAGATATGGTTCTTTTCTTCATTGATGTAATTGATTGTGTGTGTTTTCATTATTTTAAATTGTAAATCTTATTAATTATTTAATTGTAAATTGTATTAATAATTTTGTAGGCTATATGTAAATATTTTTATTCATTTTTATGAAATTATTTTTAATCATTTGAAATTGTAAATCTTATTACTTATCGAACTTTTAAATTGAATTAATCATAACTTTGTAAATATTTCTTTATTTTTTTAAATAATTGTATTGCTTTGAATAAAGAATGATTCAATGATGTATTTTTAGAAAGTGTTTAATCAAAGTACATAGTTCTTTTTGTATTTGCTTTTTCCTTTTACTGACTTCTTGATTGTGTACTTTATGAAGAATTGTACAATTTGTTTTGGTTGGTAAAGTTTCCGTTTGAGTCTTAAGACAAACTTTCAGTAAGGCTTACATTTGGACAATAAATATTATTTTAAACGATTTTTAATGCATGCGATGATGTCAATTGCCAGAATGTCTTTGAAATACAGAATGTACACAATAAAGTAGCTGAGTAGGCAGTATACAACTTAGTATACAGCATTTGTTTAAATGTTTACACTGTTTCAGCAATACATATTTTATTTCATTTCATTTATTTTTGCTTTATTCATATACAAAATACAATAAAATATACAAAAAGATAGTCTCGTGTTTCACCCAAGAGCCGGCGGGATTGCCAAAAAGTAAAATAAATTACTATCCAAGTGGCCCTCCAAGCGATGGGGAACATGGACTAGCAAAATATAGGTGCTAATAGCAAGTCATAGGTGCTAAATACATTATGAAGTGTCGTGACTCCGTACTGACTATAAGTTCAAGTATTAAAAAGGTCTGCAAGACTACAAAAAAAAAAAAATGTTATATGCACATATATAGCCATGATGTGCCTATATATGGTCATGATGTGATGGCATTGTGACCATATTTAGACATGTGATAGTTTGGACAGGGCTTAAGTTCATGGCACATTGGGATTTTTCGACACATAGATCTGATAAGTATCAGTTTCGGTGACATCACCATTTCATGATGCCGTTACCAAACCTGATTGGGGGATTCTGATCAGATGACTGATGAATGGTGCTGTCACCAGTATAGACGTGTATCAGCATTTTATTTGTCACCGAAACTGATCACTTAGGTAGAATCGGCTGCGTACATTAGTAACCAGGCTCTTATACCCGATTCACACGTACAAAAATCTTACCAAAAGTAACAAAATGTAACCAAAAGTAACATTTTACGGCACGTGTGAAAGTACCTCCGTGTAATATCCTTGTAAAATCTCGGAACATCTCGGTAATCTTTACCAGCCTCGCTGAGGAGATGTGTATACGTAAAAAAATTGGCGACTCATTTTATTGGATTCAGCATACTTCAAAGTATATATTCCATCCAAAAAACTAAAATGATCACAAAAATCCCACGGGAGCCCATTTTTCGACATATGCCCCCGGACTAATTGTCTGTTATAGAATATATCCTCTATCCAAACATTGAATCGTTTGAAGGAAATGGAAAAGGATTAAACGCGTTATCCACTTCCACTGAAGAAAACTCAAGAAGAATAACCTTAAATGTTTATTTACGCGTTTTCTGAAACAACAAATGTATAATTTTTGAATAAAGTTGTTATTGTTTTAAAATACAAGGCCTACCGTCTTTTAGGTTCATCGGTATCTCAAAGGTCAGGTATCACCATTAAGCAGACGATCATGCAAACCTTTGTTTCATTGTGACTAGGTCAATGCTCCGTCATGTTAGTCATGACCGTCCATTGACATTTCCTGATGAACTGAACATGTAATCGTTGCTTAGTGGATAAAAGTTGTCACTTTATTATGCAATAGGCCACTCTTGAACATCCTTGTTTAAACTGTCTCACCAAACACCAACCAACAATGGTGCAATCAGTTTTTTTGTAACGTTAAGGGAGGTTGTGTAAAATCAAGTATAGGAAAGTTGTAGTTGTATCTTGAATGTTCTCTTAAACACCTGTTGACGAAGTTTAAGAAATCTGTTTCTATGTGTACACAGTTAAACACCATCAAATACCAAGAAACATTAGTAGATTGACATATAACTCGTTGTTTTCAACAAAAGTACTTTTATTTGATTAGAATCCCACTATAAAATATATGATATCTATATTTTCAGCAACATGGCTTTAAATAAAATAAAATATTCAGCCTATTGGTTTGTTAGTCTATGATTTCCGTAAAAGGCATAATTTCTTATGAATGTAAATAAACTCAATATTTTGTCAATGATTTGAATAAAACTTATAGTTGAAGCAATTTCGTAGGAAGACGACAGGGTAAGATGTTTTTTCAACGATATTGCATTAAAAGGGCTAATAGTAGTGGTGGCTCCAGGATGGCCCGATGGGTAGTCCGAGGTCCCCGACGAAAAAAGTGGGCGTGGTCGATCTCTCGAAGGTGTGCCATGAGGGCGAAGCCCCCGAAAAATATATGACAATTTAGGGAGTTTCAAAGGTTTATTTAATCGATTTTGGAGTCTACTAATATAGAGAAAATAAATATACAATTATAGCTAATACATTTAATCAATGTTAGGTTTTTAATAAGATTGAATAGTTGGACTTCAGCTTGGAAGGTAGTGATGTGTTGAGTTATAAATAGATCCAGATTGTAAGTTCGAATTATCCACTGTTGAAACAAAAGTTAAGAATATGCAAATTAAATCAGTATATTGCAAATTAAATCAGTATATTGTTTAATAAGTGGAAAAAAACTTGATAGTGGAAATAATTTTTTTGAGTAAGTGAATAGACAAATTAAAACGTTGAATTATCCATTTTGAAACACAGTATGCAATCATTTTGTGAAAAGTTAAGTATGGATATAAAATGAGATCAGTGTAATTGTACATCATAGGTAGAAAAACAGTTGAGGTTGGGAATTAATGATGTTTTGAGCAAGGAGGACGACGAAATTGTAACTTTGAATTTGTTTAAACACAGTACTGGATCAACAACAGTACGTAATCAGTTTAGGGAAGTCAACGCAACAAAGTTACCAGTCTAGACAATATATTTCCTCTAGTTTATTCATTTAGATACAATCATCTTGTTATGGCAATAAAAGCAACGAATATTCTATTTCTATAATCGTCTTTTCCCGCAATATGGTAGGTAGAAAGTGGTAATAATTGGTCAGACTAATCAGTGCTTGATTTTTTTTTTTTTAACAATGCTAATTTTAAATCTTAAATCCCTACGCCATCGTTGTTTTGACCAAAATTCTGTTAAATTTGCCGACAAGGGGTCCGACATATCCGAGGGAGGTGTCCGAACCAAAGGGCCGACTAGACCCTCAATCGGGGTTTCGGAGTAAAAAATTCATGGTAGGGTTCAGGGTGAGTTTTTTATGGCTTAGTATGGTCCAAATTGTGCTTTAAGTAACGTTATTTGGATAGAAAAATTATTGTCTTTTTTATTTTTGATCGGATGACCTCGTCGTGGCGTCTGACGACAGAGGGTCCAGGCCTGTCCGACGGTGAGGAAAAATCCCCTAACCTCCACACACCCCTGGCGCCATCTTCGGACAAGAGGGGATTGTTCTGGATGTACAGATCACCACTAGAAATACCAACTGGAAATAAGTCTTCGTGAAATTTTCCTTTGTGTTCACACTTAATCCAATCAAATCTAAATACAATCCAACAAATATAATTATATCAATACAGTTCTAATTTGAAATAGTTTTGTCTTATCAAAACTATTAAAAAAAAACCGCCAGTCCAGAAGAGTTTCGAGTTATAAGGTGGGTCTTAAATAAATCTTCACCAACACCACAGCGATACTTTTTTTTCCAATTTTCTCCAAATTATATTTTCTTTTTGTAGTTTATAAAGAAATAAAATCTATTCGTACGCATTTGTATTATTTATTGGTGTACATTTTAATGAGATTATAGGTCATTGGCCATACAAATAGTAACCGTCCGTGGCCATTTCCCGGTAACCTTATGGACGTGGTCGTTGCTCGGTAGATGGAAGTCGTTACCGTATGCAGTCACTCACACATCCTTGCTTGGTTACTGAGTAAATAATATAAAATGTGTCTCACCTGTCAGTGACGCATGCTGTCAATGTTTGTTGTAACCTCAATAGGTATTCGTTCAAGCACCTTGTCTTCGGCGCAGCCGTGGCTTCAGAAATTTGCCGGTAGTCTAGAGCTCCTGTCAGGGTTGAAAATCCGATTGTGAGGGTAATGAGGGAGACATTTTATGGTTTAGGATACCCACAATTATGCCTTAGTTAGACCACGTCAAACTATTAAGAACTGAAATCACAATAAAAATAATTTGTTGTCCAGCCACCTCGTCGTACCGGTGAACGGCGGAGTTTCAAACCTGTCCGACGGGGACGATTTTTCAACCCCCTACCTAACGTTGGCGACGCCACTGTTTAGGGGTGCTTTAATCATTAATCAATTGCGTGTATTCGTCATAAATATATTATGGTAACGACCATTCCCGGAGTGTCAAGCAAACTTAACAGCCGACCAATCAGAACATGGGCCATGAATACGCGCTTGTCCCACAAACCACACGTACATGTTGGCCCACAAACTCGCGTGTGTTTGCGTAGTTTACGCAGTCGTTTTTTTACCCTTATAATAACAACACTATCAAAGAGGCGGGGGTTCGAGGAATAGTTCACTGGGTTATAAATGGTTATAAAGATCCAAAAACAAGAAAAAAATAGTATGAATACCCAGTGATAACACAATCATTAAAAATAAGTACAGTACATCAACAAGTTTGAGTAAAGCAGTCGATTGACAAGAGCCATTGTGAACCTTTCCTGGATATTGTTTCTAAGGTCTCACAAAACTGTAGCGTAAATACGTGGTTTTTGTACTGTTCTGATTGGTCAGTTGTTTAATTGGCACTTCGGTAAGGTTCATTGCAGAAAATATTATTAGAACATGTATTGTTTTATAGCTTGCAATACAACTAAACAATAGGATTTTATATGTTGCCCTGCTGTCTAGGCCTATTGCTAAAAGTATCAGCTCTTAAGCAGATCCTTCTATCAGTAAGTTAGACTGAAGCTTAGTGGTTGAGATGCATGCCTTGCAGAACACAGTGTTCTGGATTGAAGTCTGGGATATATGTTACAAGACTCAATGCAACTCCACCAGATACATAGAAGAGCATAATATCTTTCCCCAAGTTAAAACCTTAAAGTGGAAGTGTGATTGGAGCTTCGGACACTAATAATAAATCGTTATTAGTAATTATGTTCAGAAAAAAAAAACAAGACTGGGCAGGGGAGAGGGAAGGCGGAGGAAGGGGAAATTGTGTTATTTTACACAATTAATTCCTGATCAATGTTTGATTTTTTTATTTTTTTAAATTTCAATTGAATTATTTTTTTTGAATTTCACGTTGATAATTGCATTACTCATATATTTTTGTTGTTGTTATATTGTATTACAGTAGGCCCAGGGGTGGCTCCAGTGGGGGGGGGGAGGACTCCCCCATTGGGAAAAGCTGCCACTCCCACTGGAAATTCTTCAGCAAGGCCCTACAACAGTTCCGGTCAGGGTGGTAGGACAAAATCAGCAATTTTGATTAGATACTTATTAACTGATATATATACTTATTAATCTATTAAACAGATCGATTTCAACCTTTCTTCATAAAAAAAATCCCTAGGCATAATAGTTCATTGATGGCTCCGGAGCAAATAAATATTGAAATGAAATTGAAACAGGGTCGCATCAAGATAGAATAAATTCAACACCGGGAGTTTATTCAAATAAATATGGTAAATATATATCAATTAAATCATTAACACAGTGACTGCCACACCTTTTTTTAAGGTTCCTTCCAGTGTGCCAAAACAAGTTTACATATACAGTACATACTTTTTTGAAATCTTATCTAATCATATATCATCAAAGTGATGTGTCTAATAAACTGGCGGGAAAATAGTAGGGGACGTCAGCGGCACTGTGACAACTGACTATGCCAAGTGCAAATTTTCTTGTCTGCTTTTTGCATGGGTTGGTATATATTGAAAGGGCGCCCCCACTTGTGCACTGCCGGCAACATAACACAACAAACATACTTGTCATTTGTACGTTATCGTTTAGGTGTATCTTCCTCGAACTACCAGCCGCTAAGTCTGTGGTTCTACAATGTATAATAAAGCAGTAATAAACGCTAGAATGTTACCCCGATTTTAACGAGTATAGTCGTCCCTGGCACCCTTAGCAACATCCTGTGGGCCGAGAATACTATTTGCTAGCAGCCAACGTGTTAATACATTCCGAGAAAAGTAACATTTATTCTTTTACAAGAACACATAATTAAAACAGAAGGTTTGTTTTTATAAAGTACATTTCCCATTTAATGAATTGCTCATAAATTTTTCAACACACAAATGCTCATCCCCAAACTGTCTAAAACCTCGAATTGAAGCCCAATGGTCTTAATCTCAAAAGAAGCCCATCTCTAATTGAAGCTCCCCCTCTTTAGTTTGCAAAATTAGTCCATGCGCTTCCTTTCAACCTAACATATGCTTCTTTTTGAGTACAGTGCATATACATTACATGAATTTCAAACAACAAAATAAATTAAAAACATGCTTGGTTTATAAAGGAGTTTACGTGATTTAATGCCAATTAATACACTCCATGATACAGATTGATGTTTTACAATACAAATTCCCAAAATTTACAGCATTTGTTTTGAAAAGAAGCCCCCTTCTGTACTTTGCAGCCTTAAAAAGAAGCCCATCCAAAGTTCACATAAATAAGAAGACCAGGGCTTCAATTCAAGGACTTACAGTATTATCAAATTCTGATTAAATATCAAAATCTGTTCTTCATCGAAGTTTATAAACAGCATTGTTTTCTTTTGGCATTACTGTCAAGTAATATCTATAACATTCATGATAATCTGTCCCAATACAACAATTCAAATCTCCACGGCTCACAGGTATCAGACGCTGATAGACGATATTAACATTCCGTGATACGTCAGTTGTTATTGTTTACAATCGCAGTAAGCTACTCTTGCCCCACAGAAATTTTCCATCACCTTGAATTCACGGTCGCTGTCGTAGAGTCTGTTCCACTTGGCAATGACGGTTGTGTGTTATGATTGGTCGGTTCAACCTTCTTCCTGATTATGAATTCTCCGTTCCATTTCAGTAAGGAATTTTCAAAGTCTGAGTCTTCCGGTACGCCATCCCTGAGGATGACCGGTTTGATGCGAATCAGGTGTCGAACTTTGCTTAAGAGGATATTAACCTGCGGAGTGTTCTTGTGAACCACTGCTTGAAATCTCTGAAAATTAAAATAAATGGAAAGTGTCAGCTCCCTACATTTAAAAAAAAAAAAAACCATATTTATAGATATTGACCCTTTCAGCATATCCTAGAATGCCAGCTGATAATCAGGGGCCCTCTTAAATAAATATAATAAGGTGATGCTTTATCAGCGAAGTGTCTTTATGAGCCTTACCGAGTGGAGTTGCGTTTTGTCTTGAAAAAAGTTGAACCCAAGACCCTGGAATTAGAAGGCAAGCATATTAACCACCAAGTTATTCAACTCTACCCCGAATATGTTGTCCACTTTTTATAAATAAGCTTCTCTAAAATGAAGGTGGGATTGGAAGGGGGATGGTGTTTGATCATTTAAGTTGGATTGAGTCTATCAAGTTACAGTCAGTTCATTTAATCAAATGAAGTCTAGTAGCGGATAGGGGTGGTTAAACCAGCACTCCCCCACTCCCCTCTCTCTTTGAAATTAGTAAATATATTAGAATAGCTGAAAAGCCAGTATAGCTTCCTGGGCCCACTCAATGCCCCACCCTTTTATACTATAGCTCCAAGATTTTAACACACACACCCCAATCCCCAACCAACTACAAAAAAACAAAAAAAAACAAAAAAAAAAACCTGCATCCAGCCCTTGAATCAATTACGTTTGTTGAATTACGTCAACCAAAATGCCCTACAACATGTAGCATATGGCAGTTCCTACATGATGATTCACATGTCACTAAACAACTTAGGTGTACCTCATAGGAACAAAGACTGTAACCAACTACACATGTTTTCTAAAAACTCCAGGCGACCTGGGAAATAAGCATATTACTAGTGTTCAACAAAAATATTACCTGTTGGTAGTACTATGGCAACAATGAGTTCAGATAATATTTTTAGTAAATAAACACTCAACAAACACTTGCAGCATTGGAGGTACCAAGAAATTGTCCGGGGATGGGGTTGAGGACTCTTTGTTGGGGAACCCTGGATCCCCCATGCTAAAAGAAGTCAATCACTTCATTAATCGGGCAACACTGATTTGAAAAAGAATTTTTTTCACAGTCTGGGAGGATCATTTAGCATCTAATGTAGTTGTGGTTTTCCCCCATATTATTTTTCATACTCCAAATTACAAATACGAAATATAAATAGGTATGTAACCATTATTAAAGAGAAACAAACTATAGTAAATGAGCACACACAGAATAGAATAAAATGCAGTTTTAATTGTTTGTTTGGTTTTGGTTCAATTCAAACATGAATTTTATCTAAACAAATTTCTGTTTCGGGTTTTTTGTACTATCAGTAAACCTTCGACAATATCACTATTAACGCAAAGACAGTGTGAGGGTCATTCTACCTCAAATCAACCAATGGCCACCCCACTTTTGTCTCAGATTCATTTCAAATTTTTATCAAATATTTCCCAATCATTCATATGAACAAATCTGAAATTTGAACTTAGTTCCAAGTTGTTCCGAGATATGGGCATTTTAGTGAGGGTGGTCAGAACAAAATTTAGCCAAAAAATTCAGCTTTTATTTTTGTTTCTTTTTAAGGAGTCAATATCTCAATAAATAATATACTTCCAGTAAGTGAATCTGAGAGAAATGTGTGTGTGTGTCAAGGGGGGGGGGGTGTTAAATCTTGCCTAATATACAGTACAGTACTTAAGAAGCAATCTACAGTATGTGAGCACAATGCTTATATTATGTGACAATACAGGAAGCATAGTATGAGTATGTTTGCTTGGTTTCTTTGAAAGGCAACATTTATGCCGCTAATGTAATAATGTAGAGGATACAGCAGCGAGGCTGTCATCTGGAACAGTTTGTCACATTTCCTGATTGCTAGGCAACAGTGACATTCAACAAGGAGACAACTTGAGTCAAATTCACTTTTGAGTGCAACAAGTTTCCATTTTTCAAATATATCTTTATGCAGTTTATGTGACAAATTTGTGTGATGTGCCCATATATAGGATGTTATTTGTCACAACGTTTGAAAGTGTGAACACATTGTTTCAGTGCAAACTTCTGGTTGTTGGGGGACAACTTTTATTTACACAAAAAAGTGTTGTTTGTTTGTTAGGAAGAGAACTATCAGCTTAGATCTCAAGTTTCATAAAATTATAATTAAAATTGCATTTTTATATAAATTTAAATAATTCAGTGTTGTAATTTAATGCCGTCGTTATTCGACCAACATTTACAGTACAAATAAATTAACAACTTAATATGTAATTTATTTTAAAAAAAATATATGATGATCTATGTTTTCATTTTTTTTGGGGAGGGGTAGGGAAGGGAAACAAGGATTCCTAGGCCAGCTTCTAGAGGTCATTTTGATTTAAACATGGCATTTTTGTTAATCTTTCATTGGTAAAGGAAGTACAATAAACTGCTTAATAGCAATTGATGAATTCAATTAACATAAGATGACAAAGAGTCGTAATAATCAAGGTACACTTAATGAAGTGTAGCTACAGGAAACTCATATATGGCCAACAAAAAAAATACAATAAAATCTAGGGTCAGATCAATTAATGTCATTAAAGTGGATAGATATTTTTTAAATTTCAAAATATTTCTTCTAAAGGCACAAGTGTCAAGTCTACAAGTGCCAATGGCGAACATAATCACTTTTCAAGAGGCAATCCCTATCATAGGAAAACACACCACCAAGATGGTATTCACAAACTAAGTATCATAACAAGGCTTAGGGAGGGGAGTTGTTCTGGTTGCGTGAAAAACAATCATGTTACCATGAGAGAAACTGAACTTGAACCCGGGACTGGAAGTAATCACCAAATCTCCAGGTCCACTGTAAAAACAAAGATTTACATTACAGACTTTTGGTTTTAGTCAGGCTTGGGCAAGAAATAGATTTTTTCGCCTAATTATGTATCAATTGTGTACTAACAGAATTTCATATACTTTGGTACTTTCCATTGGAATAAAGCCATATCATGGATAATGGATCTTTCTATAACCCCGCCTCTTTGATTTTTAAGACGCTCACCTGGCTCTGTTGTGATTGGTCAGTTGTTCAGTTTGATTGACACTCCAGAAAAGGTCTATTTAGGTATTAAAGTAGGTAAATCATTGCATATAAACTGACCTTAAATCAATATCGGTTGACCTCTATATTTTACTCCTGATTTTGATAATTGTACCAAAATTAAATGATTTAATTATTTCATTGAATAATTCTTAAGGCTTAGAATTGCAAACATTTCTAGTTTATTATTTACAAAAAAAACTGTAAAAGATTAGCATGAAATCCTGCATCTTTTTTCTCTTCAACTTTATTCAAGTTTAAGATCATAAACTAATTATATTGACAAATAGGTCAAATAAAAAAAAAATGTCTGTAAATTTAAAATGTGGGTGTAACAGGGAAAACACATCCTGCTAGTGCTTAATGTACCAAAATGTCAATAATTATTTACCTAATCGCTTAAATCATTCAATTAAAGCCCTAATTTCCTAATTACTGTAGGCTAAAAAGCTGAATTTATTATTGTACTAAAACAAAGGTAAAACGAACTTAAAAAATGGTTTTGCTTACATAGTGTAGACCAAGTTTTTCGCAAAGTTTTCTTTCCCAATAAGGTCTGCGATTCAGACCTCTAATCCTCCACACTGCATGCAGCATGTGAGGGCGCTCTTCATCAGATGATGTCATTTCTCCTGGTCTATGAGCAGAACAGAAAGGACGTGTAAGAGCATAGAATGGATTGCTTTTGACAATCCAATTCTGTGGCCTGAGGATCTGAAATAAAATAAAATAAAGCTTCTGTAAATATAATATGGTTTATGCAAGTTTCTATTAATAACAGCACTATGGTTACCATTTTATAAACCACATAATAATCCCATAATAATGGCCTCTGGTCACCCATTGGCTCAGGAAGTTGGGGGGGGGGGGAGAACTTTCGAGAATCTCAATGATTTAAAGCTTTGTCTACACTATCAAATTTTGTGAAAAAAAATGTGATGTGCCCATATATGGGTACGATGACATCATTATCAAATTGTATCAAAAAAAGTTGAATGTGTTCAACTCTATGTTCCATCACATTTTATGTGACACTTTTTTTGATGAAATTTGATAGTGTAGACAAAGCTTAAGGAAATACTGTACAGTACTGCAGGACTACAGACTCTGAAACACATTGAAAATTACCACACGGTTAAGTTATTTTTACGCACATGACATTGGATTCAGTCCACTGTTGCATGCAGTATTGGTCTTGTTCAACCCACATTGTCGGCAAACTTTAGACGTGAAGGAAGTTCATCCACCCAGAGCCCAGCCAAAGGAAGAACGCTGCTCCGACTAACAGCCACTAATTGGCCTAGCCCTAGGAGGTAGGTAAGGCCTTTTTCTACAGTTAGCTACTGTTAATACTCTAGTAGGCCTGCCAAAGAAAAAAAAGGCCCAGCCTCTATACTAAAGCAGTTGCCTGGGCCGGCTAAGCCTACCTACCCTACCAGGGTAGGCCTACTACCTAGAGTAGAGGGTTAGACCTAGCTAGGCTAGCCGCTAGTTAGGTACGCCGCCCTACCGCAGCAGCCAGTAGCTTGGCCTACTAACACAGGGCTCTGAACCTAATTCTGTACTTGGGCTTAAATACAAGTTTAAAGGAAAACAATGGGTAATCAGATATAATTGCAAAATAATAACTAGGGCCTAAGCCCCTAGATCTAGTTAGCCTCGGCTTGGGTACCCGCTCGGCTTAGTCTTTCTACTCTTCTTACCACGTTTTTCAGCACAGATGCTGCCATTTTTCACAACAAATTCAACAGAAAGGATAAGAGGGCGCTGTGTTTATTTTCTTATTAGAGACGTAGATCGAGAGAGTTTGGCCAACTTGGCGCATGGACGTCTAATCTCATCATCATCATCCTAATTTTGTCGCCGTCAAAATCATCACACTCATCATCATGACCGTCATAATCATCAGCAGCATCATAATGGAAAATATCATAATCATCATCATCATCATCATCATCATCATCATCATCATCATCATTATAATCAACATCAAAAATTATAAACATCATAAATGATAATAATCATCATCATCAACATCTTCATTACTTTTATGTAATATCAATTAATATTATTTATAGGCCTATACCTAATGGGTTGTTGTCAATCCAACACACGTTTACAATTAAATCTTATTATTTCTATTTTTAAGGTGTGTGGTTCTCCCCCTCCTCCTAAATTATCATTTTTGTTTTTATAATTATCAACTTATGTCCTTTTGGTTAAATTATCAAGGATTTGAGTTTAGGGCAAATAGCAAACATTTATTAGATTATCACTCCCGCCCGAGTTAAAAATTTCGGAAAATACTGATGCGGAAAATTTTTTTTTATTTTTTGTCGCATCAATTACTTCAACAGCATAAAAATAACTATGCAATTTTGTGACTTCAAATACATTTTCCTTAAAAAACTATAAAATTAAACCAGTTTTTATACAATATTTACTATTACGGGCCAAATATTTAGCGTCACCGCCCGACCCTGATTTTCTAGCCGCCTCTCTTTTTTTATTTTTTTTTTTGGTTAAAAAGTGCTGAAAATCGACTAAAAAATGCCGATAATAGAGGAAAAACGATCGTTTTTTTCATCTTCAGCACAGGGAACCAGATGTGAAGTGCGCCACCAAGTGTGTTTTCTTTTTCTGCAAAAAAAAAAAAAAATAGATAAAAATAGATTCCTCACACATGTGTGCTTGTTGACAGAAATCGCGGACAATTTGATCGTAGGCGTATATGTTTTATTTGGTTCTTCTTAGATAATAAACAATGTTTTAAATATGATAATAATAAAGTACTATGAAGAAAAATAATAGGTTACGACCTACGCTTCAATTGGCAGATGTTTTAGGCCTAGCCTAAGTACTACCTAACTAGGCCTAGACCCCTTGCTAGTAGTAAGTATGGCTAGGCCTACCTGGCCTAGGCCTAGCCTAGCACTGCAGCAGTTAGCCTACGGAATCACAATGCTTATTAAAATAAATATTGTACAAACAAATCTTTTATGTAAAATTTAGTGTCTGTTATGGCCTTTGTAAAAGATTTGGCTTGGCACCAATGCAGTTTTTGAAATCTCTAGGCCTAAGAAGCCTACACATTATTAGGGGCCTAGCCTCCTAGGCTTGGCCTGGGCCAGCAAAAAAAAAAAAAAAATGATAAAAAAATCCGCCCCCCCGCCCCTGAAAATTTCTGAGGGTGTGACGATAAACAAGTATATATATATTTTTTTTGGCCTTATCTAATTTTATAATTTTCTATGTGCCCTTAGGATATTGCTGTTTCTTAGCTAAGGAAATATAACGTCTATTCGTGTACAATAATATTAATAATAATAATAATAATAATAATAATAATAATAATAATAGTGATGATGATGATGATGGTAATTATGATAATTATGATAAATGATAATAATAATTATAATTTATAACCGATTCCATTTTTTTTCTTTTTTGCTCGAAGGTAAAAAAAGAACCCCGAATTTTTGTAATCTTGACCTTGTCCTTTGACCTTTTCTTCCAGAAATTGAACGGTGCCCGTTTCTTTGATTATATATGTACTATTCCACTAGATTTTATGATAATCCATTCATTAGCTTTTGCGTAATCTTGTTAACAAACAGACAGACAGACAGCAGTGAATACTCGTAACCTCCTTGGTGGAGGTGATTAATATCAATACTTACCGATCACATTCTAAAATATAAATGCAAATAAAATATTGGTAAATTAAAATTTCAAGGGTAGTATATGAAGCTGATTTTAATGAATCAAGGGTCACACATGTTTCTGTAGTAACAAGCGTGTTTTGCTGTAGTCAGCATCAACGAAAAATGGGGGAGGTGGGGGTATTGCATTTTGAGAATTGGGTTAAGGGACGTCACATAAGAGTCAAGTGGGGTTTAGAGGCTTAGAGGTACATTTTAGTTTAAAAATCAGAATAGGCTATTTTACTACAAAAGCAATAATGAAGAAAAGAAAAAAAAAACGTCACCACTGGGATTAATAGAGTTTATGGGGTGAGATAGCTAGGCAAATCCTCTGTAAAAGGGGGTTTTGACTGAACCTTTAAAAATCTACTACATCTACATCGTGTTGTTAGATAGCCACCAAAAATCAACATCGATCTCGGGTACTGCTGATCGATCAGACCTAGTCGTCACATCAGGAATACAAGATTACGATGATCACCAATAATACGTTATCAGAAGTAGTTACGCCTACTGATTACAAAATCAAATATCATAGTTCTACTTAGAGAACAAATCGATGTTACATTGAAGGTGACCTAGCTAAGTTTAGGTTCATGGTTTATGTTATGTTTTCTCTTTGCAGACTTGTCACTTAGACGGCGTTCACACGGACAAGAAGTAATGGCTAGGCCTCACAAGCAACTTCTAAATTCAGTTGAGTCATGTGTAGACGAGATGCTAGAAGGCGTGGCAGCAGTCAACCTAGGCGTAAAGATTCTCAGAGGTAGGCTATGGTCAAAGTTTACGCTGGTGTTGTTTATGGCTGAGGTCACGTCTGCGATAAGTCAATGTGCTTTAACTTGGCACATCATACGGCGTATTATCATGGAAATGATTTTTTTTTCTGTAGTAGGCCTACTGTACATTAAGACAACAATGAGGTTTTAAGGTCAGGGTCTATCCAGCTCCACAAATCAACACCTCGGATTTGCGTGATGTCGACAGATAATTCCGCCTATCCACGGCGTACATTATACTCTACTGGTGCAATAAACGCATACAATTTGTTACCGTATACAAACTGAAACGTGTCGTCATCACCTGGTTTAAGATAATACTGGTACTCTAGCTGAAAACAGTGGCGTCTCTAGGAGTCTCGAAATGGGGAGGGGGTGATAGGGGGAGATGATTAAATGAGGGGGCGCTAGCTTGCAAAATATGGTGATATGATGTGATTTATGTAACTGAGCGTGATTATTTTTCTTCAAAGGTTTCAATGGAGGAACTGGGGAGGGGAAACTGAAGGGAAAATAAGGGGAAACTGGTGGAGGTTTTTAGGGAGGGGATGCGCCCCACGCGTACTTCACTAGATACGCTACTGCCTGACAGCACTTTAAATATGAATTAAGATGTCATCCAATCAACAGATACCGCATTCAGATCTTTACCTCGTGACAACTTTTTTTGTTACACGTGTCTCGTTGGAAGATAATAAACTCTTTACATTAGCCTCCCCAAATTCTGTATTTACCCCGGCTCTTCTTTATGCTGTCTTTGTCAGTGTCTCCCTCTCCCTCCACCCCTAGTTTACATCCAAATTTGAGCAGTAGCCTGTGATATATGTGACATAAAATAGGCCTAACCTTTTTTTGAACCGGAATATTGGAATAAAAAAAAAAAAAAAGCCGTAAAAAATTAACATGATATTTGTTTTATTCTGTAAATACTTCAAATTATTATGTGAAGGGGAGGTAACGCGCAATATAAGGTGATAGGCCTATATGGTGAGGTGATTTTTAACTTGCGCATAATTACTTTTCTTCCAACATTTTAAGTGGGTGGGGGAGCAGACTGGAGGGCACAAGTTCCCCCACCCCCCGCTCGGGCCAAACCATCATAATACTCACCATCATAAGCAAAAATTCAATATGCTCATCATATTTTTCTAGAAAACAAATTCAAATATTATTTTTAACGCTTTATACCAGAGGAAAAAAAAACGTAATAATGGGCTTATTCGACTGGTTCATTTCGTTGAGTACGAATTTTCATTGAGTATTATTTTCATTCGACTGGTTCGTAAAATAGACTTTGTTGACAACGAAATAACCAGAATGCGTTAATCAGCGTTAAGT